ATGGAAGATAGTATGCTGTCGTGCATAAGCCTCCTATGTGACATGAAAATCCTTCAGTGGAAGTTTGAATTCAATTATGTATGAAAAATATGCAGAGTTTGAAAAATTTAACGTATCATATTTCATTATTTCAAAGTATTTGTTAACAATGCATTTTTTTTAATTAAAAAAAATTATTATATTAATAACAAGGTATTAAATAAATTGATTTTATTTTTTTATACTTAAATAACACGTTTATGTATATTTCATCGATAAGAGGACATTTATTTATATCGCTAATTGATGTCACATCACACTTCCGTAAGCCCAAAAATATATTATATCTGTTCAAATTGCTAATAAGTAATAATAATATTATGAATTGTTCTTCTGTCATGGTTACAGAGTTCAAAATAATATATTATTTACAATTGTTCAAATTGAATCCAAATAATGTATTCTACACTTTCAATTCATTGTGGTTAATTATTTATATTTTGAGATATTGCATAAAATACCTATATACTAGATGCCATTTAAATTTTTTTTAATGGGGTAACTATAATCTGAGCAGGATGATTTTTTTCTTCGGGCCAATTTTTCTTCATTATATTAAGGACATGTATGTTGGCGCATGCATGAGGTTGAAGCGTAATACATTCAATATTTCGATAAATTAAAAAAAATTGGAAAGTTGGAATTTTGAAATAGCTTTTATCATGCAGAATATTATTAATAGTAAATATACATTACTTCCATATAATTTATTATAATTTACATACGCATAAAGGTTTTCATAATATTTTTTAACTTATGGCATCGGGCATCGGTGAGTTTGTGAATTTTGCTGCAACAAAAATAAGTGCTAAAGTATATCCTTACCCTAAATGGAGCTCCTGACCTATATCAAGAACTATAGAAAAGTTAAATATAAAGTCTTACTTTAAGTATTTATTTTTTCTAGTGTACGTTTAAAATATAAAGTTATGAAATGAAAAATGTTGTAATATTAACCCGGGGGCTCCGATTTCCATTCTTCCAAGTAATTAATTTAATTATTTCTTGAACTTAACAATCAATGCTCGTTTTGGTATTGAACTAGTATTTGTCTAGGATAGTATGTCCAATATTTTTTAAAATAATATATTTCTTTAAGAAATTTAGATATTCTGTTGAAGTTTTTTCAAGAAACTCTAGTGATTCCTATATTTTTTTTTATGTTAAGTGTTGTTTAATTTTATTGTTCAATAATTTATTGACTATGAATTATAATTAATCTATGTTTATTTTTAGTTTAGATTCACAGATTATTTGGAAAATGGAATCAAATAATTTACTCAGAAATCATGTTGATATAAGTATGTATTGTATACAGATAATAATAAGAATATCTGACGAATTTCACATTTATTAATTATTAACAAACTATTAAATAATTTTTCTTTTGATCAATTATAAATTTATTTTAAAAATTTTATAATTACGATTACCTAGTTATATTACGTATTAACAGTTATACATTTAAAAGATATGCATTGATATGAATTAAAGATTTTACATCGTGAGATATTTTTATTTGTCAGTTATTTTTGTGGTATTTTGTTATTTTATTTATTTGTGGCACATATTATACCTGAATCGTTTACATTGTACTCACGAATTTGAAAAAAATGAAGATGAATTTAGGTTGAACTTTGTTTAATAACTTCAAACTTATATGAATACATCATGAAAATTGTATTAGGCAAACCCTAAGTTAGGTTAGGTTAGGTATACCCTTTTATAGCTATTATTCCAAACTTAATTCCATGATATTAGGTATTCTAAAACTATATTTATACGTGACTATGAAAATAGTGGATGGATTATTTTACGAATAATGTATTTATCGATGTTGTTATTTTCGTTTTCGATATATATCGTATTCTTCACTCTGCCAAGTATGAAATTAGTAATCAAAATTTAACAACTTTCAAAAATGGTTTTTTTTTGTTAAATTATAAATTACACAATTATCATAAATAAGTAAAGTAGTAAGTACCTACCGATGCATAAAAACCAATTGAGACTGATATTCACATAGTATAGGAACCTATATAATATAATATATTAACATACGAATGCATCTCTATTTTTTAAGTAGTAGTTTTCGTAGTAAAATATTATTTAATACAACTGTAAACACTGTCAAAGATTATTCGTTTTTTAATTATATGATAATGTGTGTTTATTTTTATTTGAATAAATTTCAGATTTTGTGACACAATTAGTTAATACAAATTAATGACGACTATGACAATATTTAAATGCTACAAAAAACATAAAGAAAAATAACGTAAAAATGAGCAATACTGTAGAGTATAAAGAAATTAACTCATAGGTAACTATCATATTCTATTCACCACAATATTCATTCATGGGAATTAATGACGAAGATAATAATAATAAGTCACAACAATAGTAATATTATGTATAAAGTAAGCACTACGATAACCATTAAGATATATTATAATGATTAATGAGCAAATGAGCAATGCTTTAGAGTACAAAGTAAATGACGCATAACCAAATATTCTACTTAAAAGTTAAAAGTAGATAAGATGTAAGAATGGAACTCAACACCAAAATTCTTGGGGCCTACACCAGGAGCACGTCCTTTTGACGACCCGAAAAAGGGGTCAAGTACATAATAAAGGGAGATTCCTTTGAAAATGAAACCCTACCAGAACAACTACTGCCTGAATAAAAGCGATGAACAGTCGTGAATATTACAGTAGACAAACGAGTGTTGTATATAATAGTATGATAAACATATTATTATTATGAACAACAATAATAACAAAAACGTCAACTATGATAATTTATCGGCCAGTGGCCAGTAATAAACAAAACGTGTTCGTTATAATCTCGAAAACCATCCGAACACAAAAATTATATAAAATGTAACAAGTACATCACAACAATATTAACCTATAGAATTAAGTGATAATTATCTTACCTTTGTTTAAAAATGTACATTTCGTAGTAGTTGATTACGTAAAATATTGATGTCTTACCTGTCGAAACAATAGTATTCCGGCTGGCTAAAATGGAAAATTAGACTGCAGAAGAACGTAAAGAAAGTTTTGACAACATTTCGTGACTACTCGTGACCATTAAAATCCTGACGGTTATAAGGGTACCAAATGTGAAATATAAAAGAACTTTTGTCGCACTCGAAAAATAATCTTTTTTAATTCCCTTCCGGGATAGTGCTGTTGCATGTAAACTGCACGTAAATATTAAATTTTATTAATTACCTCCTTCTTTTTAGATGCTTTTTTGTTGAATTTTTATTTAATACACGTAATTCGTTATGTAGGTATGTTGCATACCTACATAAATCATTATGACGATATCTTTGTGTTGGTCGTGCATCTCATTTGATTTATTCATTATTTAATTCATAAGCATTAGTCTTATTATTAATAAATAACCAGTTACGACTCGATTTTATTTACTTTTTACTCGTTCTTCCGCTTCTTCATACCAAACTCAGCAATCTATTTTGCATGTTCTTACAAACTACATTTATAGCTATTTTTGGAAGTTTGTAGGTACACGACACTCGTCTTGTTTTAGTAAGAAAAACAATATTAGGACACTACTGATACATGTGGAGGGGAAATCAATGGATGGTTTTATTTTAAAAACCAAATTCGAAATTGTCAATATATTTATAGTATGGAAATGTGTATTTTTAAAATGATGGGTTATGTACCCTTGTTTGGACGTTGTACATATATTTTGTTTACGAAAAATATAATTCTATAACTAAATGTTAATAATAACATTAGAGTTTATCATAACTTTATTAATGACAAATAGTAGATGCAACTGCCATGATTTTTATGTGCGAAATAGGCCACCAGTCTTTAGTTACCGTGACCTTTTTCAATTGAGTGTAAGCAAAAATCTGTAAAAAAATGTCACTCTGCCTATTGTTTGAATGATGAAATTGGCAAATGAAGACCCGCCATTCCTAAATAAGAACGTTCTGTAATTGGTTACTTTTAATATATTTTTAATATTAATGATAAAATATCTACATGTAATGTATTGAACAGTTGTAAATATCATGCCAATTAAGCTCGTCCCGTTTTTAAATGTAAATAAATAATCAAGAATACGCGAATTGAATATGCTAATCAAGTGGTAGTAAAGACATGGTCATGGATTTGAGAAAATGTATATATATATATTCAGGGATCACAGAAATGTACCTGCCATAAGATAGTTAATGTTTTTATCGTTAATTACTTACGCTAACCTCGAGAAAAACATCTTTGATGTAAATTAAACCAACAAAGAACCTTCTATAAATCAAATCTGTCTCGGAATTGTATCTTTTCCAAGAATATTTTTCGAAATACCACAACGTATTTCGCTGTTGTAAGAAGTATTCTCATTGTAGCGATCATGCAGTTCTCAACAATGACGAGTACACATAATTTGGTGAATTGAAAACAACATTTTATTTTGTATATATAAAAAACATGGTTACATTGCCGTGCTTGAAAAAAAAAAAAAAAAGGCGGAGGAAAAATTATATTAATCAACAATAGTTTGTACGACACAAAACATGTGGGCTCATTACATGAATTGCGTGGCACAAACATATAAGGTAACAAAAATTAAGAAATATAAAACAAAAGTCCAATCACATTACACTACAACAGTAATGTTTTGCTTAAAATTATCTTAAACACATAGTTACAACTTACACTTAAGTTTATCGTTATTTTTCTCTTATTTACGCTAGGTACCTATATAATAACATTATATATTATATTCATACGAATACGTTTGAACAATATTAGATCTTAACACTACAACTATATGAATATTTTAAAAGCACATAACTATAGTAAAATTATTAACATTTTAATTTACCATACACATCGTTTGGTTATGAAGAATAATAGTAATATAATATATATATATATATATATGTATACACAACGTTACCTATAATATTATTAAATTGGTAGAAAGTGGTAATAAATACACTTTTGTTTATACACATCACACGCACAGTTAATTGATCCAAACGCTATACTTATTACACTTTAATATAATATTGGATAAGAATTATGGATAATAAATTTAGTATTAACATTTTAATTACATCTATATAATGTTTCTTAGGCAACTATTAGTCTTATATTTTTGGGCTAGGCGTAAAGTAGTTTGTGGCGGAAATTGCAATCGTATTGAACCATCATTAGTGTCTTGATAAATGTTCTGAAAAAAAAAAAACCACAATCAATTTGAAAATAACCATAGAACGTACGAAAACTTTTTTCATTTGGTTATAATCTTATATAACATTTATACTTTAAAAGTTCCACGTTCTCGTATAAAATAAATATTGATTGAGACAATGAAATACGTTGAACTTTTATTATCGAGTGCTTTAATAAAGTAATATTTTAATAGGTTTTCTATAAATATTATTTAATCGATGAAACTCTAAATCGCATGGGTTTCATAATAATAGTCTTTGTATATTTTACTCGTAGTGTTTACAGTGCTAGGAACTTTATTTGTAAGTCAATAAAAAACAATTTATTGATTAAATAGTTAATTAGTAGGTAAGAGTTGATACCTCAATATTATAATCAATTTTGCTATTTTACTTTCGATCGGTCACACTGAACATTTGTTCATTTGTTCATTTGTTCAAATGTCGGAATGAAAACTTGTCCAATTTATATATTGTAACTTTGGGACGTTATTATAATTTATCAATTCTTTACTGCTACAAAAACCGGATAATCCCTGGTCAGAATATACTCGAGGCGGCCGCGCAAGTATCATTCGACATTATTTATTAATTTTTCTAATGCGAGTCCATTGTTTGCTCGGAAATCTTAGTATTTGTTTTCATTTCATAGGTTTGGCCTGGAATGGATTTTCTTTGAATAATAGCCACTGTTCTCGGCCGTTCTTAACGGTGGTCGTGGTAGGGGGGGGGAGTATGGACTAAGGGGGGTTGGCCCCTCTGCCAACCGCTGACGGCAACGAGAGCGTAATTTGTTGCAACATTTGTATTTATATTTTATTATCATTGTGGCGCGGTCCTTTTGTTTGGATCGTGGGCCTAAGTACCCGCGAATAATACACACCGGATAATAATACTTTTTGCTTAACACAAGCCGTCCGAATGTACGTTTCCACGCGTGAACAAACGATCTGAAATAAAACATCATGTATATAGTGGCATTAGCATAACGCGAGCGTGGAAAAAAATTATTTTCCGCGAGCAAAAACATTTTGGATCGTATTATTATGATTTCGGCGGTTTTCGGCAATCGGCATTGTCCGGCAGGTGAAATCGTTAAAAAAATAATCTATTTAACGGAATAACGACAAATCGATATAGAACCCAATAACCGTATACCTGAATGTACCGATTATCTTTGTTATTGTTTGACGGTCCGATCGCCATGGTAACCGCTGCAGCAGTATAATACTGTCGGGAAAAAATAATTAAAATAATTTACCGGGTGCAAAAAATTACATAAAACGAACGGGGCTTGCGTCCCTTCTGCGACGAAACGGTCGTGCGATTTGTGTGTAAAGTGGGTGGGCTTATATTATTATTATTATTATTATTATTATTATTATGCACCGTGCTCGCCCGGCGTAGTCGTCGGAATCGCACAGATATACCTACTCAGATTTCGCGACAATCGATATTATGCAAAACACGCGGCTGCACGAAACACAACCGTATAATATAATACGTAGGTACATTATAAAGTGTACGGATTACCGTAATCCTGTAGATTTCGCCATTACCGAACGATATCGGTCACTTTTGGACCCCTGGGCTTTGTTCTCGTTATGACCGCGGGTCGTGCATACGGCGACGGCGACGACGACGACGACGATCGCAAAGTTTGCTTCCCCGCCGGGTTTTTCGGTCAAATCGATTTCGACTCGCAATAATTATATCATATACAATACATAATATCATATTTCTGCGCGTCATTATTATCATGCGCGCTCAGTAAACGGGTGCCGCGTAGATTTATAATAATTATTTTCATTCGCGGAAATTGGTGCTGCAGATAGGGACCGTGGAACACGTTTGTGTACAAAACTCACACTACGCCACTGCGTACCTGTAAAATTATACATCTTATTTACGTTATTACATTATATATATATATATTACATAATATTACTGTGTGTGCCGACGGCAAACAAATATCAATTTTAGATCCTTGCGGGGGTGTATCGACGCGGGGTATAAAGTGATTTTATTAAGACGAAGGCAATTTGAGAATCCCGTTTTATTGCCAAAAAAAAAAAATAATATATATATATACACGCCTAGGGTGTATATACGATAAACATAAGAGTGACGCCGTCGTCGCCGCCAACGCTCTCCGAGTTTCAGCATCCGGTACTGCCGCTGTCTGTGTTTTCACATAGTTTGTAATGCGTGTCGCGTTTCCTCGTTAGTTCGTCAAATACGAATTTTGTTTGTTTTGTTTTTTATTAGATTATACGGTAAACTCAGTGCTCAATAAAATATGATAAAAGCCATTTACGTGCAGTATAATAAGTATATTAATAAGTACGTATGTTGCGAATACGAATTTAAAAATGAGAACATGCGTTCAAGACGTAATTACTATGAGTTCGTCAGCTGTAAACATTAGACGATAAATAGTATATACAAACATGTATCAGAATTGTATTTTTCTGCAAAATAAATATAATATTTTACATGATTTGTTAAAAAGTAAATTTCAGTAGTCTGTTGAAATTATTACTTATAGTATACCAACCTTTAATATATACCAAATCCGAACTTAAAATAATCATACAAATTTTTAGTCGGCATCATAAACAGTTATGTTAACACTTTAATGTATACTGACCACGCTGTTATATTTAGGCTTTTAATAATGTTTTAAATTTAACTGATAGATTCTATATTGCGCTATAAACTATTTTTAACGAAGATAATAAGATTTATAAAGATAATCATCATCTAATGAATCACCAATTTAATATACAAAGTAAATACTTGTTTTTTTTTTTTTTTAAATGATACAAACGTATATTATTTAAAACATAATATTAGGACATTACATTTATTGCATGGTAAGGAATTTAATATTGATTCTAAACAATTTAATTAATTAATTAAAAGGAATTGTTTATAATATTTAAAAATCATACTTTACTCACTGTACCGGCATTTATTGCACTTAAACTTTATGAGTTGAAGATTAATTAAAATATTTGAATAATATTAAAATATACTGTAAATTGAATATATTTCTCAGTCATAGTTTCATTTTTTTAGCATATTTAACAGTAATATTTGGATTTTTTTATGTCCTCGTCCCATAGTGAACCTCCATATACAGCTGTGTCATATTCGTAATGTGGAGTTTATTGCTTTGACATAATTAAAATACTTAATATTATATTTCAATATTAAACTCGAAAATCATTACAGGGACAAAATAATAACCAATTATAGGATGTGTATATTTTTAGAACTTATAGAAATTTAAAGTTTATAGTGATCACAATAGAAATTATTGAATTGTTCGTGAGGTTTTTAATTTTGTTCTCTATTGTAAGAGGCACAGTTTTCTAAAAATGTATAAAATAAATATAATATATAGCATCTAGATTGTTAGATGTATACATTTTTTTGTCATTTTAATTTTGAACAACATTTGTGCTAGAGTGAAGAAAAAATTTACATTTAAATTACGTTAATTATTACTTGTTAGCATACTATATCATTTGTTTTCATGGCCAGATAATTTAATAACTATTGTAGGTACAATTAATATTCTTTTGTTACTTCAAAACAATTATATAGGACCTACTTATATTTTATTATTATAATAAGACTTAAAAATTACTTGTTGTAGAATATATGAAATTTTTTATTTATTTATTTTGTAATATGCTAAAGTTATAATTATAATATTATATAATAATTTAATAAATTTGTGGTAAGGATCGCGTTTTAATTTAACAATAAAGGATTGATTATAATTGTTGTTATTGTAATTTAAATTATAGATACGCGTTTGTCTTAAATAATATCACTCAACATAGTGCACATTTTATGGTTTTTTTTTTTTAATTTACACACATTTTGGTTCACGTATCTATAACTTTAAACTTTTAATTATCACAAATATATAATACTTATATTTTATTTTTGTCTATTATACAATATATTCACTTCATTGTTGTGTTTAAAATACACCGTACAAGATGGCTGGGACAAAGAATTGCAATTAGAAAAATTCCTATAGTATAAAAAAAATGTATTGTGTATTGATATTTTATAACCTAGTAGTTTGGTAGTAAGCACAATACTATGATCGATGCGATGACAACAATATTCAAAAACTACTCGCATATGCTATTAAATTGCCTACACAAGACGCCGTCTTATAAAATTAACAAAACTGTTGTGTTTTTTGTTAATATTTTTTTTCTTCACAGATTCAGTTTTTTGTAAAAGAAAAGTACGTATACTTTAAGTAGTGAAACAAAGTATAGTAGTATGTTATTTGATATGTAATCGTGTTGTGTAATTTACAATGTATTATAATAGTTGGTCAGGCTGTCTTTGAAATGTTTTAGCCTGGGAAAAGCAGACGACAGGATTTGTAGGAATTTTTATTTACACCTACCATTGTTTCTCAGTGCAGAATTGTCTCTTTTCCTTACTCAAACAAATGTGTCTTTCATGTTTTAGATGTATATTAAAGTATACATATATATTATACAGCCGTTGTTAATGGGGGAAATTGTGTTTCGGAAGGTTTGCGTGTCGGGTCGAAAAATCGATATAAGTATACATGCATTAAATTCCCGTGGAGAGTGAGCTTTTCCGTGTTTCTCCGATATTTTTTCCTCTCCGAAGAACATGGGGCATCAAACGAGGTTAACTCCCATCCTCCCTAGATCCTCTGCAGTAACAGTAAAAATAAACACGGCCTTCGACCTAAAATTAATTAATAAGTCTTCAAGTACGCCTTGTGTGTGAATCCTAGTACCTATACTGGAGATTCAATAACCTGTAGTTTGTTTCAAATAAAAACAGAGACCGGAGTGTCTTGACCATAAAACAATGTCTGACGTATGTATTTTCGAGTGAAAGCGTACGTGCGATCGCGTGAGTATGCATGAGTTGTTCAAACAGTTTTAGTTCAATCGTGACTTGTGTTTAAATTATTGAAAAACCTTCA